TTCTTTACCATTATGGCTAGTCCACTACCTAAAGGACTTGGTTTGACTTAACTCTTCACAGGAATTTATGCATGGTCATCTTAGAGACCCTGTGTACCATGTACTGTTTCTTTTTCTAAGTTAGCTAGTCTCACACTTGTTTTGTTAACAAAAGACATTGTTAGCAGTTGCTTTATGGACAGTGTGTTCCCAATAGTTGGCCAAGAAACCACATTGGGTGGGGATTGAGTTGATGGGTTTTGTGATGTGTAAACCTCTGAAACCAAACTTGAGGATTTATTTAGAGTTTTGTGTGTGCCCTTTGGATTTTCTGTCTCACTTTGTTTTGGTACAATTTCTCCATTTATAGCCAAGTCAGTTTCATGATGTTTAAAATTTCTACTATTGTCAAATGGAGTATCAGAAAAAAAGTTTTTTACAAAGTAACAAAAATTTAAAACTGAGCTGTTTAAATGTTGCTGTTTTTAGATGTCTGTTCTTACCCAAAAGTGGAATATTCTCTGGGAGAAGAAGAAGGTTTCACTTGATTCCTTAAGTTGCCAAAAGCCCCAGGCCAAGATTCAGTACCTTCTTGGACCTTCTTGGATTATCACATTATTTCCCAGTTGGTTGATGCCAAGGCAAGCAGATGTTGTTTTAATGATTTGAAGGAATAAGTTGCTTAAATGCTGTCAATGTTTTATTTATAGTTTTACAATAAAATGGTCCTTAGGAAAAATACAAATAGGCTACTTACTATTAAAAAAAAAACACTTAGAACAACATTTGGTACATGATATTTGCTTACTAATGCACTATTTTTGTGGCAATCAATATTACTAACAGTGTCTTCATGAGACAGGTAAATACTTGAGCATAATATTTTCAAAAACTTTCTAGCATCAGTTAGTCTCATTCACTATGGACATAATTCTGCATAATATACTAAGTGAGAAATTTTCTTATTCAGAATTTATGCTCCTAAAGATCAGAGGAAAGAAACACTATCTTTACTGAATGCTGACAGCACAGCCGGTGAAAAACTAGAGAGTGGCTTGAAATTTTCTCATAATAAATTCTGTAACACAGATAACAAGCAATCTACATTCCCTGTGGAATAAAGAAATTAGAACAGATGGGTAGACAAAAGACTAATATAGACTTGGAAAAGCTTTCTCCAAGTTTATGAATGTTTTAAGACATATATGTGTGGGAAAGGTAGCTTTTTAGAGGCACAATAAAATCTTCTTTGTTCTCTAACTAGTTGCAGTATATCTGATGTCTCAGATGCACAGACACGTCTCCTGTGTTTATGTATGAAAATATAGGCATATACATCCCTTGCTTCTTTTTTTTTTATACTGATAATTGAACTCAGGACTTTGCACTTGCCAGGCAGGCACTTGTGCTGCTGAGCACAGTCCCCTACTTTTTAAATGTGTGAATATTGCACATGGTTTTGAGTGCATTTACTTTACCTTTTAAAATGAGCATAAATGCCTGGGATTAACTCTGTGGTAGACTGCTTGCCTAGCCTGTGCAAAAACTTAAAAACTTAAAAAAAATTGTCATCTAAAAAATAAGTTATCCCATAATGTTTTCTAATGTTCAATCCATTTGCAAATTTCTCCAATAGTTTGTCTTTTATCACTGGTTTTTAATTTTTATTTATTTATTTTTTTGAGACAGGGTCTTGCTATGTAGTTCAGGCTGGCCCTGAGCTTACTGTGTAGCTCAGGTTGGCTTCAAACTCGCAGTGATAATCCTGCCTCAGCCTTGTGAGTGCTGGGATTAGAGGCATGTGCCACCATGTCTGGCAACCAGTTTTGTTTTGTTTTGTTTTGTTTTTTAGAAAGCCAAGAATCAAACTAAGCTCATATATTGTACATTGTGAAACTTATTAAATCACTTTTGGTGAAGAACCTACCTTCCACCATCATGTGATATGGACTTTTAAAAAAATTTAGGAGAGCTATGTTCTGTTACACATCCGTCACTTGTCCTGTTGTTTCTCAAAGTGCATTTAGACTACTGTAAACTAGAGGTTATGTCTAGAAGGTTCATTAGGTTTCTGATTAAATATTTTTGATAACATCACTTCATGGACAATATTGGATACTTAATATGGTAAAATATTAGGGAACATACAATGGAATCATATATGATCTCTTGATTCATATATTGACCACCAGCTCTTCCCATTATATTGGTACATTTCTTATTTAGAATTAATAAATAACTCATGGAAAGTCACACTGACACTCCAGTTGGAATTTTAGTCATATATTTTAAGAAACTGAGATGAAAACTTCAGCTTTACTATTTCCCATGCTCTGTATTCCTCCTCAAAGATTTGAATTTCCATCTGATAGCATTTGCATTCGTTTTGGAGGACTTAATTTTTCTGTATGCCTACCAATGGTAGTGATAAATATTGTTTCCTTTTCCAGAAATTCCTTTTTATTTTTTCTTTTTCAGTGCTGAGAATCAGACCTAGGGCCTCACACATTCTAGGCAAATGTTCCACCATTAAGCTACACCTTCTGCCCTAAATGCCCTTATTTGTGATGTTTTTCTGGATATAGAATTATGGTAGACAGTTTGGAAAATATACTCACACACACAAGGAATGAAATTATTATAACAAGTCATTTGAGTTACTTTTCCTCTGTATAAAATGTATCCTTTCCCTTTGGGTGCTTTCAGGATTTTCTCACTATCTTTGACTTTCAGCTGTTTGAGTATGATATTTCTAGGTAAGATTTTCTTTGTGTCAATCCTCTTTAGAGTTTTTGGAACCTCTGAAATATGGGCTTATGCCTTGTACAAAATACCAGAAAACTTTAGCCATTATATCTTCATATTTTTTTCTGCAGGTAATTCTCTTTCTTCTGGGATTCCAAGTACTCATTTTCTTTTTGTTTGTTTAAATGTATTGGTGTGGAGAAAAAAGAATCTGTCATTATAAATTATCATATTACCAAATTAGATGTTGGTCTGGGGATATAGCTCAGTGGCACAATGCCTGCCTGGCAAGCACAAGGTCCTTAGTTCAATTCCTGCTACCAAAAAAAAATCAAATTAAGTATTACTTAACTACAGGAAGAGATGAAATAGCATTTGATAAAATTCAGGAGCTAGTTGGGCATGGTGGCTCATACCTGTAGTCTCAGAACTATGGGAGGCTGAAGTAGGAAGATCGCAAGTTCCAGTCCTGCCTAGACATCTTAGTGAGACCAGGTCTCAAAACAAAAAGGGCTGGGCATGAAGCTCAGTGCAAAGACTTTGAGTTCAAAATCCAGTATAATAAACAACAAAAGATGAACAACAATAAAAAAAGAACAACAAAAAACCAAATGCCCCTGGAGCCATTCCTGCATAGATACAAGTATTTTTTTAACTTACGAATGAAAGAAACAGTGGCAGAAGGCAGCCATTTCAGAGCGTGATGCTAACTGCCATTCAATTATAGCTAATGAGATTTGGTGATCAAAATTTCTAATGCTAGGGGCTGGGGATTTAGCTCAGCGGCACAGTGCCTGCCTGGCAAGTGCAAGGTCATGAGTTCAATTCCCAGTACTGGAAAAAAAAAACAAAACAACAACAAAAAAATTCCTAATGCTAGAGCCTCTTTTGGGTATGGCAGCATTCCCAATGCAGTTTCACATACCTAAGATAATAGATAGTGGGAATTGGTATTTCCATGGTAACATGATGGAATACACTAGTTTAAAGTTGTAAATTTTGACAAACTAATGAAATGTTTTTGAGTGTTCCTTAAAAGGGGACTTAGTAGATGGTTACATCAACTTCCTTGGTCAAGTTGGGCATGATGGTGCATGCCTGTAATCCCAGCACTGAGGCAGGAAGATTGCTGTGAGTTCGAGGCCAGCCTTAACTGCAAAGTGAAACCGTGTCTCAGAGAAAAGAGAAAAAAAACCCACTTCCTTGCTCAAAGACTCCCCCTTATTTGTCAAGTATTAGTAGGCACTGGTGAGTCTTAAAACATCATTTCAAAAGTGCTGAGATAAGGCACATCTCCACTTCTCCTGATTAACATGTAAATATGGTACTGGGGCTGAGATGGGTACTATTTAGGAAGGATAGATTCTGTTAAAATAATCCGTTTTCTGCTTTGTTTTATGCTTGATTATCGAGACTGCAGTTGTGTGAATGATGTCAACCACTAGATGGTGAATGGCTGATCAGTGAGATCATGGAAGCTCTGTCTGCACAAATTAGACATAGGAGAGAGGACAGATTTGTAATGATGAACCACACACATTTGGTTCTCAAAGCAGTTTTGATGGAATTGTCGGTCCTTTTGGAAAGGAATACTTTTTAAAGGGCTGTTTTCTTACTGTCTGAGACCGTAAGACATATTCTGTTTCATAATTAATATATTTTCATGTTGGCACTAGGGTACAACAGCCACATGGTTGAGTCATTTTGAGAGCCATCAATTTTAAGATGCATTCTGATTTCCAACTACTAAATATATACATGTAGTTGTATATTTTTAAGAGTAGCTGATCAAAGATTGCCAATTGCTCTAGTTGTGTAATGGACCTTTACAGTGGAGAGATTATAAAGATTTACTCTGTAACTAGTATAATTCATCAAGTGATCAAAGTTAGCACTGGTAATGGTTTGAAACATGGATATTATGTTTCTGATGTGCTGCAATACGAAGTACACATCACCATCTAAGAAGTGCTCCAGTCTAATATGATTAGGAGCCATTAGTTCTCACTCCAGTTTATGAAAAATATAAAAGATTGAGGCAGGCCAGGCATGGTGGCGCACACCTGTAATCCTAACACTCGGGAGGCTGAGGCAGGAGGATCGTTGCAAGTTTAAGACCAGCCTGGGCTACAAAGTGAGCTCAAGGCCAGCCTGAACTGCATAGTGAGACCCTGTCTAACAAAAAAAAAAAAAAAAGATTGAGGCAGATAATAAATTTCACCATAAGGAAAGAAATTCAGCATGAGAAAGAAGCAAACATGTGTCAATCTATAAAATCATTTTCCTAAACTCTTTAAAGTCTTTTTTTTTTCAGCCTCTACTTTTTATGCAATTTAAGAGATAAATCTTATAAAAATCCTGTCAAATTTTTATTTTACCAATTTTTCCCAAATGGGTGAATGGTTATGAGAGGGTTTTCTAAATTCATTACACCAGTGGTTGTCCCTAAGTCATGAACAGTATTAATGTAAAAGCACAACTATTAATATGTATTGATCATAAGACCTACACCAGATACCCCTTAATGGATCTGGCACATACTAAACCCATCCAATCTCTACAGCAGCTCTAATAAGATAACTATCATCATTAGCACTTAATATAAATATAAAAGAGAGTAGGCATTTGGTTTAGCATCCCCCAAGTAGTAAGGAGGTGCGTTGGCAACAAGTACGTGTGTGATGTATAGGGGTTTTCCTGTTTTGTTACATTAACAGGGTGGTTGTCTAGGACAAATCTGCTAAAGTATAACAAAGATTGAAAGGTTTTGGTAGGCCTCTGTACATTTGACATCTGGAATAAATTCTCGTTATCATGGGCATAAGAAAATTGTGATTCCCATTTTCCACATCCTTATATACTCATCAGAGAGAGAGAACAAAGGATTACTTATTTGAATTAAATCCTATTATTTCTCTCAAGTTTTAAAAAGTGTGAATGATGTCTCTAAAATTATTTCTGGAAAGGGATGAACTTTTTGTTTTCAATTTCTAATCATTCATGGGCTACCAAAGTGGTATAAGTTTCCAAAAATTTGTGTGCAGTTTTCTCATAAGGGACAGGTGAATATTTTGTGAACTGGTACTAGTCTCTAGAAAATAATTTGAGTGGTATTTGTTTAAAAGCATTTCTATTCTCCTGATTCAAAATTTCTCTTTCAGATGAACTTTCTGATTTACTCTAAGATGTTTACAACATCTACATGCCTTTTTATATTTCTTACTTTTTTTTGGTACCGGGACTCAAACTCAGGACCTTGCACTTGTGAAGCAGGCACTTGTGCCACTGAGCTATATCCCCAGCCCATATGTCTTACGTTTTTAACCAGTATAAGTTACCTGATATTGCTCAACTCTCATGTCATGGGTAAAGATCTTCACATATTCCTTATATTTAAATGGCTTCATATATATACATATATATATATACATATATATATAATCTCAATATTTGATAAAATCACACAGAAGTCTAAATGTCCTTTCATATTCCTTATATTCAAAATACTTCTCACTAGTATATCTTTGCTATTATCCATACACAGGAAAGACTGCACATTCCTTATATTCATAGGCTTTCTCAAGAGTAAGTTGTCCATACACAAAAATGTTCTTTCATTTCTCTTCATCACAATGTTTCTTCAGCATAAATTTTCTCACTTGAGTAAGTTGTCCATATAAAGGCTTTCCCACATTCTTTATATCCACAGGGTTTATTACTATCAAGTCTCTACAGATGATCAAAGTTTGAACCATTAATAAAGGTGTCCCAAAATTCCTCACATGGATGATCTTTATCACCAGTATGAAATCTCTGATGAATGCTTAATTGATAGACACTACCAAAGGTCTTCCCACATGGTTCACATTCATAGGCTTTTTTGTCAGTGTGGAGTCTTTCATGTTTAATAAGGCTTGAATCCCCACTAAAGGCCTTCCCACATTCATTACATTTAAAAGGTTTTGCACCAGTATGAATTTTCTTATGCTGAGTAAGGTGATAGCCCTGGCTAAAAGCCTTTCCACATTCTTTGCATCCAAAGGATTTTTCACCAGTATGGACTCTTTCATGTTTAGTAAGACTTGAACCCCAACTAAAGGCCTTCCCACATTCTTTACATTCAAAAGGTTTCTCACCAGTATGGATTTTCTGGTGTTGAGTTAGATAATAGGCACGGCTAAAGGCCTTCCCACATTCTTTGCATTCATAAGGTTTCTCACCAGTATGGATTATTTCATGTTGGACAAGACTTGATCCACAATTAAAGCCCTTCCCACAGTCCTTACATCCATAGGGTTTCTCACCAGTATGGAATATCTGATGTCGAGTAAGTTGATAGCCCCAACAGAAAGCCTGTCCACATACCTTACATTCATAAGTTTTTTTACCAGTATGGATTTTCTGATGCTGAGTTAGTTGATAACCACGACTGAAAGCCTTCCCACATTCATTACATTCATAATGTTTCTCACCTGTATGAATTATTTCATGTTTAGCAAGGCTTGAGCTCCAAAAGAAGGCCTTTCTACATTCCTTACACTCGTAAGATTTCACACCAATATGAATCTTCTGATGTTGGGTAAGGTGAAAACCATGACTAAAAGCCTTCCCACATTCTTTACATTCATAATGTTTCTCACCTGTATGAATTATTTCATGTTTAGCAAGGCTTGAGCTCCAAAAGAAGGCCTTTCTACATTCCTTACACTCGTAAGATTTCACACCAATATGAATCTTCTGATGTTGGGTAAGGTGAAAACCATGACTAAAAGCCTTCCCACATTCTTTACATGCATAGGGTTTCTCACCAGTATGGATTCTCTCATGTTTAACAAGGCTGGAGCCCCAGCTAAAAGTCTTCCCACACTCTTTACATTTATAGGGCTTCTCACCTGTGTGAAATCTCTGATGAACAGTAAATTGATAGGCACTAAAAAATTTCTTCCCACATTCTTTACATTCAAAATGTTTTGCAGCTATATGAGTTCTCTCATGTTGGACAAGTTTTGAGTCATGGCTACAAGCTTTCCCACATTCCTTACAAACAAAGGTTTTCTATTATGAATTCCTTGGTGTGGGATAAGAGATTTACCGTTTTTGTATATGGGAATTTTTTTATAGGTGATTAGTATTTGACTAAAGTATCCCTCTTGATGTTCCTGTAGTCCTTCAACTTTGCTTTTATGCTTCCAATTATTTCTGAAAATGAATGCCTCAAGGCCAAGGGTTTTATTTTTTTCCTTCATCTCCCATTGGGAAAAATTTATTTCAAAAGTATCTTTTCCAAAAAATACATTTTTGGTTTCATATGTTGACTCCAAATCTGAAACAAAACAAGAAAATCACACATTTTATTTCCTTTACCAAGGGAAAAAAAACCTACATCTATAGTAGAAATAAAACATAAACAAAATATCTACTGGAAGTGAACTAAGTTAGGAGACTTACTGAACGCACTTGCAAGTATCAAGGGTCCCCCTGTTATACAATAAGCTCAGTTTTTATTTTTCCACTCTCACGATCTTAATGTTCTCACTTGATAATTTTCTGAAGGATCCACTGAGAGCACTTCAATAAGACTCTTATTTTCTCATGCTAATAGTAACCTTAAGCTAAAATGTGAGCTTCCATCAACAAGGCCTGTGTTCCAAGCTTCAGTCATTCAATATCCCTTGTATGTGTGTCTCTTAAAGGTAATCAAGTTCTTACTGTTACATAGTTTGGCTGGTTATATTTTTTCTAACCTAGTCAAAGCTTCCTACAATATGTAGCTTGTTTCCTTTACCTCTAGTCAAAAGTCTCCTATAAGATCTGAATTTAACTCCAGAGTTTATTGGCTGAGATTCCAACCTTGACATATTGTCTGTTTGGTTATTTGTAAGTGATTTGTTGGAAGAGAAGGAATGATCTCTCCTTTAATTGGCTTTGGTACACACTAGGTAAAAAAGACAGTAGCTGATCTACAGGAAAACATGTTGTCACTTCCCACCCCTTGTATTGGTCATAAGTCATTAATGGTGGGTTGATGTGTATTTTTGTAGTGGATTCTACAGGTAACTTGCAGTTTATGTCACACCCTACTCCTTAGCAAGATCACAGTCTAATGATTACCAGATGCTAGACTGGTCCTGACTATGTAACTAGCAAAATGGTCTTCACCACTTTACATTACTGTAATCTCAGCCCTTGGGAGGCCGAGGCAGGAGAATCACCATGAGTCTGAGGCCAGCCTGGGCTACATAAGTGAGTTCAAGGCCAGCCTGCACTACATAGCAGAGACCCTGTCTCAAAACAAAACAGAAACAAAGATAAAGACTTCTGAGAAGAAAAAAAAAGGTGAGATCACCTCAGTAAGAAAGTGATCTTGATTTAGACTCATTTAGGGCTCCACCTCCTTAGAGCAAATACAGCACAGCAGTTAATAACAGACTCTGGAGTCAGACTGTCTAGGTTCACTTCCTGCCTCCACCTCCCACCAGCTCTATGACCTTGAAGATCATTTAAACTGCAAGTACCTCAGGATCCTCATCTAGAAAATGGGGATAAAATGGTACCTACATCCAGAGGAGGTTGTAAAGGTTAAATAAGGTAGTATATTTACACTGCTTAGAACAGAGCCTAGTATATAGCACAGTACTAACTACTGATATTACATTTGCTACTATTATTTTTTTGTTTTTCATTTTCTTTTCTAACTACTGTTGTTATCTTGCTAGGAGAAAAACAGGACATTTCCTGAGACAATTTAGGGCTTGTCAATATTAAATGCAAGGTTCATAGGTTGTAACTTTCAACTTCAGATCTATTGTAAGGAATGTGTTGACTTTAGTATTAAATGCATTCTGTTCATTTGATCCACCCCTATATAAAGTACAGAAGCTTTTGAAAGGTACAGTACATCAGGACTCCGTTGTTAGCTATTCTGCCTGAATGTGGGTCAAAAAAGAACAAAGCACAGTGTTTCTCACTTTAATGTGTACAGGATCATAGGAAGATCTTGTGTGTGTTCTTTGGGGCAGGTCCAGGATATGACTTGACATGCTGTATTTCTGGTCAGCCCCATAAAGAAGCCAATGTTAACTACTTATGCAATACTTTACAATAAAAAGATAAATTTAACACACACATGCACACATACACATGCATGCACACACACACATGCATGCACACACACACATACATGCACACACACAATGAATAAACCAAATTCATGGCTTCTAACCCTTGAGAAAACAATGTATATTCCTTCCCAAAACCAGCGACACTGTCTGTCTTCTGGCCCTTCGCCCTCCCTATTTCCTGGTGCTTTCTCCTTCACTGATTTTTGTCTGATGACTTCTCAGACAAAAGAGCCACACTATGAGTAGCGAGGGTGTAGAAAGTCTGAAGGGAACACAGCATGTGACTCTGTTTCTTTGACAGAGGTTAGGAATACACACCCTACAGTGCAAATATGACATGTTGGTCATTAAAGAGGCAGCAGCAGAAGGACCAGAGAAAGGGAGAAGGTCCCTGAGGTATGGAGAAAATCAAGATGCTCAAGGAGCTCATTTCTCGTTTGCTTTTGGTGGGTTTTTGTTTTGTTTTGTTTTGCTTTGCTTTGTTTTATTCTCTTTGCTTTGTTATGTCTATATAGTCCAGGCTGGCCTTGAACTCACAGTGATCTTCCTGCCTCAGCCTCTCCAGTTCTGGGATTATAGGCCTGTGCTACTATGCTTGGCTCAGTGACCCCACTTCTAACCCCACGAAGCATAACAACTTTATGAGAAGGAGGAGAAATTTCTTCAAAGGTAGCCCTGCAACTTCCCATGTGCAGAGCTGAGGTTACTGAAAGGAGGTCTGCTATAAGTTGCAGGCAGGTGACCTTACCCAGTGACAACAAGTTGCTGTAGTTCTCCAACATCACATCCACATACAAGTCCCTCTGGGCAGGCTCCAAGCATTCCTACTCCTCTGGAGAGAAGTTGATGGCCACATCCTTGAACGTCACCAATTCCTAAAACCAGAAACCTATCCATTACTTACGAAATGGAAGAGTATGTTTCCAAGAGGATTAATAGGGTATGAAGGACAAACTACAACAAAAACAAAAATATAACAAGTAGGCTGGAAGCCTGGGGTTCAGGCAGGGAAAAGTTACAAAATTAGTGCAATCGAAAAAGAGTGCCAACAGGTGCTAGACATGGATGGCTCAGCTATCCACACCTATCTGGTAATGTATAAAATAATCCTAGCTTCTCCTCTATTAAGTAAAAATTATGTGTGTACAGGCATATAACTGTTCTGTGCTTGCTTCACAAATTTTATATAAATGTGAATGCTTATCTTTTCTTTTTAAGAAATAGGAAAAGCCAGTTTTCCAAATGTGCTTTAAAAATCTCTATTTTAGAAAATGTATTTCCATTAAATTAAGAATTATTATTAAAGTGCATGTAAATCATTGTTAGATTATAACATAAACATTGTATCTTATTATGATAAATAAAATATTTATTATTAGCTGCAATTTAGTTAATACCCCAGAATATATTTTAGTTCAGTCACCTTATTACGGTTATGCATTTAGGTGGAACAAAATTTCAAAAATTTTCATTCTGGGAATCTGGGATCATGGAGGCATCTGGGTTACCTTCTTACTTGCTACCACCAAGCACCTCTCACCTAACACCTCCCTCGTCCCTGAGTCAGAGGAGGTCGCATATGACACAGATGCCGCCCAAGACTGGCACGTCCTAAAAGACAAAAAGGACACTGACAGTGATGTTTATTTATCAGGGAATCCCTAGAAAGGACCACTGACACTCCTCTCTATCCCAACAGCCTCCTAAAGCATGTACTGTCACATAAATTGAGGTTAAAACCAACCAATCCAAATTCTACCTAACCGCTGGAAAACTCAGGGCAGGGGAGAAGTTCCGAGCGTACCCGGTGATCTACTGGGACCCTCATCACTGACTCATCCTACTATAAGCTTGACAAAGGGATGAGAAACTCAGGTAAGAGAAGTGGTTCGGACCTGGCCAAATGCAGATGGAACTGCTAACTAAAGTGACTATCCTTGACAACGCCATAGTTAAACACCGATGCTCTTCCAGAGAGTGCATACCATGGAAACGGTTCTTCAGGGTGAGCATGAAGCTGTTTAAGGACAGAGTATCCTGGCTGGCTTCTTTCCAGGCTGACCACTAGGCAGCATCTTACCATGAAGAAGGAAAACTACGGTTTTCAAAATGTGTGCTCTCAACTAGGCGTGGTGGCGCACGCCTATAATCCCAGCACTCAAGAGGCTGAGGCAGGAGGATCATTGTGAGTTCGAGACCATCCTGGGCTACAAAGTGAGCTCAAGGCCAGCCTGAACTGCACAGTGAGACCCTGTCTCAAAAAGACCAAAAAAAAAAAAATGTGTGCTCTTTCATGCTCTTCTCTTTCTTCCTCTGATGTGAATCCCATTAGTGTCTTCAATGAAATAAATCCACTGTTAGGTTTTTTTTTTTGTTTGTATTCAAGTAAAAGTGTGCTAATTCTTAACTATATTTCTTTGAATCACTCTTTGGTAGATGCTTAATTATTTCCCTTATAAGACTCTATTCCTGCTGGGCGTGGTGGCGTGGCCTGTAATCCCAGCACTAGGGAGGCTGAGGCAGGAGGATCACCATAAGTTCGAGGCCAACCTGGGCTACACAGTGGGTTCAAGGCCAGCCTGGACTACACAGTCAGATCCTTCTCAAAAAATAAAAAATACAAGACTCCATCCCTTCACTTTTCTACCTATCACTGCTTTATAGAAGCCTAGGCACACAGGAGATGTTGAATAACAGGTTCAGTGAATAGGACCCTGATTGGAATTGTCCTCAGGGAGGACACCATCCTTTTTGGGACCGTCCTTCATCAGAAGAGGAAGAACTAAGAAGTGGGTTCAGGAAAGGAGTTCTGTTATGTAGAAAGCTTTAGGATGATTCAGGAAAAGATTCACATGACCTAAAAGTCAGAATATTTCAAAGAAGAAAATCAACTTACATCTGTCATGGTTCTAGACTTGCAAGAACAAATTAATGCTCCTTGGGGCTCCTCTATTGATGAAGCACAAAATCCAGAAAAGCCAGATCTGGGGAAGGAAAAGCAGCATGAGACCAGGTGTGCCTGAGTGACTCTATCCAAGCTTAAACTGGCATAAGCTTTTACCTCCTTCGTTCCTGCTTCGGTCAGGAACGTCAGTGGTCTGCTCCGCACCCTACAGACCACTTCTGGAATCTAAACTATCTGCAGCAAGAAAAGGTTTATGGTAGTGCTTGCTTCTGGGAATGCTGATCTGGACCAGGGTTAGCCTACTCAGTTCTTCCCAGATCAGATCTTCCTCCTTCCACTCCCACCTCTCCCAGCTGAGAAGGGCCCACAGAGTATAAGCTGGAACCTCCTTCATGGGCTCAGGATTAAAGCGAGTTGTTCAAGACATGGTAGCAGGACAGGATATACAAGAAATTGCTTGGGAGCCCATAAGGCTGACTTCTTCCTACACACCAGAACATCAATGATACTGAATGCTATTCAGTTGATAAAAGCTAACTTGGGGGAAAATATGATACATTGTTAGTTGAAAAGAATAGGTTACAGATGGACAGTATGGTTACCTTTATGAAACACATGTACATGTCAACATTAAAAAGCTAACAATCAGGCAATACTGAATAAAAATTTTTAGAAAATTACACATCTATAAATTAATATTGTTTTGAGCTGTTTTGGGGTTAGGATCACAGTGTTCTTTTTGCCTGGGTATGCTGCATACTTAGTATAACTGTGACTATATACTGTATTATGTCTGTGAACTCCAGATATCCATTTTTCTGCTCACAAAAATGGCTGAAATTCCCCAAATGCAACTCATAAGGCCATGGGTATACTGAGGAGGTCTTGATGCTGCTTCCTTTCACGTCTTTTCAACAAATAGGTTTATTTTGCAACTGAGCCTGCCTTAGACATGACAGCTTCTAGATAACTGCTGCATCATCTGATTCCATTAGTCTCACTTCGTCGGCAACATCAGCATAAAAGCTAAAGGCTATAAGCACATTTGCCTTCATGATGCTGGTCATGACCTAATGGTATTCCCTGTAATTACTTTCGTATGAGTTCCTAAAGCAGATCATCTGGATTGCCAGTTGGCCTTTGTTGTTGGCTGCCTTACATTCATTCCAGACATGCTTTGTCTTCAAGGTAACAACTGTTTCTCCTACTCATGGTACTATACCCAAAGTATTACTATTACAGGGTCTTGCATCTCAGACAAAGTTTTACCCCAAATTCCACTTCCAGTAATGTAACCTTAAGAAACAGAAGCTACAAATGGTGGCACATGCCTGTAATCCCAGCACTTTGTGAGGCTGAGGTAGGAGGATTCCAAGTTCAAATCGAACCTAGGAAATTTCGTTTCAAAATAAAAAAGAAAGTTAAAAAAGGAGATAGGAGCAGGGCATGGTGGTGCACGCCTATTACTGCAGCGCTCTGAAGCCTGAGGCAGGAGGATCAACACAAGTTCAGAGCCAGCCTTTACAAAGAGATTGTTTCAAATAAAAAAAGAACAGAGAGAAAAACAAAAAAGATTTTTACAGAGCTTTTTCTTTTTAAAAAACGGGAGGTTGGGGTATAGCTCACTGGTAAAGTACCCCTGGGTTTTATCTCCAGTATAAAAGACAGACAGACAGACAGACAGACAGAGAGAAAGAGAGAGAGAAAGCCAGGTATGATGGTACATTCCTGTAACCTCAGCACTCAGGAGGTTGAGGCAGGATTAATGTAAATTCAAGGCTACCTGGACTACACAGCCAGTTCAAGGCCAGCATCAACTACATAGTGAGACCCTGTCTTAAAAAAAACAGAGAGAGAACTACTCAAGATATGTAGACAGAAGTTAGATAGATACATAAATAGATACATACACATAGATGCACAGATAGAGGTATATGGAAAGTCAACAAAAAATGATTTCAAAGAATTAGAAGCTATGTAATAGTAAGAAAAGGACATTCATGGCCCACTGCACTGTCCTTAGTTATGATGGTATTGGATAATATTACTTATAAAGAAAGCTATGGATGACAAACTCCTTAGTGAGGCAAGTCACTTTCTGACATAATGTGGACATATATTCTATTGAAAGTAAGATAAAGGCTCTAGTGTCAGACTCTCAGGATGTGAATCTGAGCTTGATAGCTACCAGTTTCTCAGCACTTGTGTCCTCGTCAATAAAGAGGGATGGGGACAGTGTCTGCCAGCGATGGATGCTCTGATGATTGAGTAGGAAGACTACAGCATGCAAAATACATAGTGGTCTAACTGAATAATAATTAGCCTTTATATTTAAAGGCTAAAATGAAAGCTAACACTTCATTATTGCAGATGAGGAATGCTAATGTCCCTAATTTCATTATAATGAAAAAAAATTTAATGCCACTCTTTCCATTTTGCTCAAAGTTTGTGCTTCTCAAACCTACTTTCTGATAATGCTAACTAAACTTTCAAAGGTCAGCTTTGAGCTCTCTGTTCTTCCTAAATAATAACATAAGCAAAACAGGTTTTTAGGAGGACACAGAGGAAATATTCCTTCTTTCCACTATATGGCAAGAGAGACTCCATTTTCTGTTTTTAACTCCACATTAAGAGCAGTCACTTAAGGCCCCCAGCGCACGGGGAGCCACGGGCGGGGAGCGCCGGTCTTCCGACCGGCAGCTCGCTCCCTGCCTCGCAGGCCCCTGAAGGGAGGGCCCCCAGGTGCACAGGGAGCCACGGACGGGGAGCGCCAGTCTTCTGACTGGCTCACTTCCTGCCTCGTAGGCCTCCGGAGGGAGGGCCCTAGGCACATGGGGAGCCATGTGGCCGAGATCACTGTGGCGCGCCAGCCTTCAGGCCGGCCGCCACTGCTCAATTGAGAACTATCATGACACAGAGAAACAATGACACAATTGGCCCACCATGCACCGGCTGCAGATGCCCACCTATGGACGTGTGTGAATCATTCAAACATGGAGAAACCCCTGGGAATACATGCTATACAATGGGCCACTCTTG